ATAAATAATGGCATGAAGGATATATTGTGGACGGACCCGGATAAATGTCTATGGGTTCCTATAAAATTCCAACGTTTAGTGATTAGATATTATACTGCTGCTACTATACCACATTTCTGAAAAATGAAATACTTTGAATAAAATACATAGATGGGGTGTTTGGTAAGCACTCTAATATCACCATTTTATGCCATTGGAATTTTATAGGAACCCATAGACATTTATCCGGGTCCGTCCACAATATATCCTTCATGCCATTATTTATTGCACCAAATGTTGGGTTGCAACTTCCCTAATCCTATCATGAATGTTTGTAATATAAGCCATTAAGTTTCATTTTCCAGGAGAAATATAAAATGAAAAAAGAACCACTATACGAAAGAGGGATTTTAAAATACACATTAGTGAAACACTTCCTATTTGTCAATTAAATCAAATCGAAGTAACATCCTCTTGTGTTGACAAGAAACAGAGAAATTGTTTTTAAAGTACTATCAGTGGTTACAAATCTAGCAATTGTGCTTGATTGCTAGATATAACTTCATGAAAAAATAAAAGTCCTGTGTAAGTTGGAAGAGTTACAGAGAAGTACCATCACTCCAAGTGCAACTGTATTTCTACTACTATTATTAGCTTCTAGCATTAGAGATTGGATATCAGCTACTATATTATCATTTCTGAAAAGTGATGGTTAAGTACTTTCAATGGAACACATAGATGGCGTGTTTGGCAAGCACTATGATATCACCATTTTATGCCATTGGAATTTTATAGGAACCCATAGACATTTATCCGGGTCCGTCCACAATATATCCTTCATGTGATTATTTATTCCACCAAATGTTGGGTTTAAAGTTAGGATCTTTAAAACTAAACGATAGTAGGGAGAATGAGAACTGTAGGAAAGGAGATATTTGGAAAGCTTGAATCTTTGGAAGCTGCCACGAGCCACTCCTTGTTAGAAATACCACCCTTGCAATGCTCATGGCGCCTGACAGACAACTCAAATTCCGCGGCCGGCCTGAGGACCCGGACATGAAGAGTGACCAACACTGTCAAAGAAAGAAAGCAACCAGGCGTTTTTCTTGAAAGAATAAAAGTAAAAGTCCCAAATTGGAAGAGTTTTGCCAGGAAAGAACCGTCCCTCCGACTCCAGAGTTAATGAATGAATGTGTTATTTGGGTTAATTCAAGGGGCTTTTGTGGCAAAACGCCCGTTCGGGGCCAGAGCCTTTTCTCCCCGGGCCGCCCCGGAGTCCCCCAAGAGCGGCCTGGCCCCCTTGCCCAGCCCCGCACTCCGAAGAGAAGGTTTTAATTTACACGAAAACGCCAAACATTTCCAAATCGAAGAGGCGCCAAGCTGAAAGGCGCTCCGCTTCTGCCCGGTTTTCTCCCGCCCGCCGCCTCTGCCCCGCCGGGCGCCGCCACCGACCGAAAGGCCGGCTCCCCCTGCCCCGTTCCCACCAGGACCGGCCGCACCCCGAGCCCCACGCGCGAATTTGGGGGCGCTTTTGTGGCACCCAAGAAACACAAAGTTGCGGCGGCCGCAGCCGCGTCTGCCTGGCGGAGAGCGGCGCCCGCGAACGCACCAATCAGGGCGCAGCTCCGCCCCTATAAATAGCAGGCAGCTCCTTTGCTTCACTTCAGACTTTACTTTTCGCCTCCCAGAGACCCTGTGCCAGACTGACAGCCACCCGCCACTGCCGCCCCGAGAGCGCCTGCCTGACAGCCAAGGAAAGGAAGGGAAGCCCACACAAGGAGGAGACCATGTCCGAGACGGCCCCCGAAGCCCCCGCGGCCGCTGCCCCCGCAGCCAAGGCGCCGGCCAAGAAAGCCAAGAAGCCCGCCGCCGCCAAGCCGCGCAAAGCGGCCGGGCCCAGCGTTACCGAGCTGCTCACCAAGGCGGTGGCCGCCTCCAAGGAGCGCAACGGCGTGTCCCTGGCGGCGCTCAAGAAGGCCCTGGCGGCGGCCGGCTACGACGTCGAGAAGAACAACAGCCGCATCAAGCTGGGCCTCAAGAGCCTGGTGGGCAAAGGCACCCTGGTCCAGACCAAGGGCACGGGCGCCTCGGGGTCCTTCAAGCTCAACAAGAAGCAGCAGCACGAAAGCAAAGACAAGGTGCTCAAGAAGAAGCCCGCCATCAAGACCAAGAAGCCTGCGGCTAAGAAGCCTGCCGGCGCCGCCAAGAAGCCCAAGAAACCCGCACCCAAGAAGAGCCCCAAGAAGGCCGTCAAGAAATCCGCCGCGGGAGCCAAGAAGGCGGCCAAGAGCCCCAAGAAGGCCAAGCCCGCCAAGCCCAAAAGGGCCGTTAAAAGCCCCGCCAAAACCAAGACGAAAGCGGCTAAACCCAAGACTCCCAAGGCGAAGGTAGCCAAGCCTAAGAAGGCGGCAGCCAAGAAGAAGTGAAGAAGCTTCAGTGACTTCCGTTCCCAAAGGCTCTTTTAAGAGCCACCCACTTTTTCCTTGAAAAGAGCTGACCTCATTTAAGACACTGAAAAATGACACACGCTGAACCTTTCTGACCTTGTTGATCAGAAAGGTCGGCGGTTCGAATCCCTAGCATAGTTGAGCAGAGGGTTCGACTAGATGATCTCCAAGGTCCCTTCCAAACACCGTTACCGTTTACCTCCCCTGTACACACATTTATATAGTATTTTTGTATATTTCCCTTTTCAGTCTTTGTCCCGTTAGGTCGTCGAGGGGATGGGAGCTAGAAGGGTAGTGAATTTCTAAAGACGAGGTTAGAGACGGACAGGGCCCCTATGACATGGTTTAACTTTTCAGCCCCTTAGGAAAGAGGCAAACCGCCGAACATGGGAGCGCGGTGGCTCATATGGTTAGGAAGCTGGGCACACACGCCCACATTCAACCCGCGGGTCGGTGCCATTTCCCGTGTCACGCTGCAGCCGACCCAGCAGCTTGAAGCTGGGACATGAAAGCGCCCCCTCCCTCCATATGAGTAATGGTTTATTTTATCGGCAAATTCTCTCTCGGGTTAACCGAAAGTGTTTCGGTGCTCCCGACAAGACTAATAAAACAGGGAAGCTGCGGGGATTTTGCCACCTACAAATGGATGCCAGGAGCATAAAACTCATATTAGGTAGAAAGGAACAGTGGAGGCAGTATAACGACCAGGCTCTTTTACAGTGAAAGTGTAGGTGGCTCTTAAAAGAGCCTTTGGGGTATAACGAAGGTCTCAGTGGAGGATTTTTTAAGCTCTCTCGCCGCGGATACGGCGAGCCAACTGGATGTCTTTGGGCATGATGGTGACTCGCTTGGCGTGGATGGCGCAGAGATTAGTATCTTCAAACAGCCCCACCAAGTAAGCCTCGCTGGCCTCCTGAAGGGCCATCACAGCCGAGCTCTGGAAACGCAGGTCGGTCTTGAAGTCCTGGGCAATCTCACGCACCAAACGCTGGAAAGGGAGCTTGCGGATCAACAGCTCGGTGGACTTTTGGTAGCGCCGGATCTCTCGGAGAGCCACAGTACCAGGACGGTAGCGGTGAGGTTTTTTCACGCCTCCGGTGGCGGGTGCGCTTTTCCGAGCTGCTTTAGTAGCAAGCTGCTTCCTTGGTGCTTTACCACCGGTGGACTTCCGAGCCGTCTGCTTGGTTCTGGCCATCTTCCAAACAAGGCAACTTCGCTCTCTAAAAGTCGAGGTGAATGAATTTGGCGGCCGAACTGGTGGGTATTTATAGACAGTATCCCGTCTTCCTATTGGCTGAGACTGGCAATGAAGTCATTAATTCTGTTTGAATTTCCCAGGCTTTGACGTGATTGGACAATAACTGCATAACCCTGATTGGTCTCTTTTCCTTCTACCGCAGCCAATCGCGATTTTGCTATTTTAATTGACTCGAGGTGTGCTTTCTCCCCATCGCCTACGTTTTTAGAACAGAATAGAATAGAATAGAATTCTTCTGGCCAATTGTGATTGGACACACAAGCAATTGTCTTTGATGCAGATGCTCCCGGTGTACACAAAAAGACAAGATGCATTCGTCAAGAATCATAAGGTGCAACACTTAATGATAGTAATAGGGTACAAATAAGCAATCAGGAAACAATCAATATAAAATTGAAAACAGTACTAAACAGTAAATGATTTCTCCATCCATGCAATATGTATCGGAAATAATAAATCTTGTAATCTTTCCAGGATTTTACAAAAAATGAAAATGCAGCCATTAGAATTTATTCCACCCAGTAATTTATGAATAGGAAGGAACTGAGTATTAGCAATGCTTTGGTAAGACCATATTTGGAATACTGTATCCAAAACAGATGGGAAATTATGAAAGCCTAGATAGAATAAATTTCTCACTGCAGGAGAAATTTCCTGCAGTGAGAACAATTAATCAGAGGAATGGCTTGCTTTCAGAAATTGTGGATGCTTCAACACCTACAGTTTTAAAAGAAGAGATTGGACAGCCATTTGTCTGGAAAGATTTCCTGCTCAAAGCAGAGAGTTGGACTAAAAAGAGATCCAAGGTCCCTTCCAACTCTATTATTCTATATTCTCTGCTTTCTATTGTGAAATCTTAAGCATAGTAACTCAGTATATTATACAAAGGTTTATTCAGATTTCTTTCTGCTAAGACTGTCATTTTCTTAGAACATAACATTTATTTCCTCCTTATGGATTGCATTCAAAAATATGGGAAATGGGTCATACTAGATGTTTATTAATTGCAACAGTGTCTCCAAATCACTTGTGTGATTTCCTAATTGTAACTGATTTCCTAATCATAAACTGGGAAACTATTTAGTAATATTCCCCTCTTCATACTCAGCAAATGTCAGCAAAAGATGCCTCCTGAATAACTCCATGGCTAATTTTGCCCCAAATTGGAAATAGAGACAAAGACAGAATATTTCATGTATAAGCACATGCACAATTTCCCTAGTCTAGTTCCTTCCAGATATATTGGATTTCAATTTCACTTCCAATTCTGGTAGATTTGGTGATGGAGATTGGGGAACAGACTTTTGCCTTTTCTGCTATGTGGAAGAAAGATTAGCAATTTATATAGTAGATTTAAATATTACCAGAATGGCTCTTTAGAAACCAAGAGAATATTGTAGTGAGAGTTTAAACAATTCACTAAAAGAATTAACTATTAAATCTTTGCTACAAAAACTGTCCAAAGCAACCAGATAAAAACATAATACTTTATGGCCATGAAGCAGGGGCCAGGGGGGGGGGGGCAGAGTCCTATCTGAGATGTACTTTTATTAGAGGTGAATCTGATGATGTTCGTCCATCGTGTTCGAAGAGGACCTTGACATCTAACAGTTTGTGGGCTGTCCACAATGTATCCACAAGTGGCTGGTAAGGCCGATATGGACATGAAATATTCTGTCACATGTTGTGCAGATGTGTGGGCACCATTGTTGCACAATTGCAGCTCTGGCTTTGCAGTCGTCGTCCCCCCCCCCATGCGATCGCTTTCCTTGAGACATCTCACCATAGAGGAGCTGTTTGGGGATGTGGTGGTCTGGCATCCTTGCAACATGGCCTGCCCAGCATGTGTGAACTGATGGCAGGCCTGCTCTGGAGAGAACGTGTGTCTGGCACCTTGTCCCGCCAGACAAGGTGAATGAAGCATGAGTCCTACACCAGTTAAGGGAAGCTTAAACAAGCTTTAATATTCTCCCAAACTCATCAAAATGGGATAGTAAAAGCCATAACAAAGATTCAGGCCTATACTGCGATTCTCAAAGGAAGAGAATCCTTACTTGGTTCTGGAACAGAACTGGAATCCATTTGTAATCTTAGTCCACCAACATGTATTTTAAAAGACCAGGATTATTTCTCTCACCTCCCCTTTTCATCAGTCACCCAGTGAAGGCAAACTACAAACTCCACATAAATTAACAAAAAGCAAAGAAATCCCTTGCATTGTTACTGTTCAGTTTTAAGAGACAGTACAGTATTGAAACATCTTCCAAATTAGAGCCACTGCATTAGGGCTGCAATTTTTATTCCATACTAATATTTGTTCTTATAATTTAAAATGCTACAAAATGCTTTTGTTTTCACGTTAGCAATATTAAGGGAAGCCTAATTTGATACAGGGGTTGAAAGCTAGAAATCATGAGCTCTGCCTCAAAAGCCAGACTTCCTGGGGTGTCGATTTCTCACAACCCTGTTGAAAAGACAATAGCAATCTATTTCAGAAAATATTGGATTAAAACACTGCAGGAATTGTTCCTGAAATTTGCTAACAAGCTGAACTTGAGCCTCATGAACAGACATGAACACAAGATATGAATGTTTATACCAAAATTCTGGTTACCAAATCAGCAAGCAACTCAGCCGATTTTCTGAAAGATTTGGTGGTCCTGAAAAGGACCTTTGGGTTTTGTATTCGGTTAATTCAACTTTTTAGCCTCCGAAGCCGTACAGAGTACGACCTTGGCGTTTCAAGGCATAAACGACATCCATCGCAGTCACGGTCTTTCGTTTTGCATGCTCCGTGTAGGTCACGGCGTCACGAATAACGTTTTCCAGAAAAACCTTCAGCACGCCTCGAGTTTCTTCATAGATCAAGCCAGAAATACGCTTTACTCCCCCACGGCGAGCTAAACGGCGAATAGCAGGCTTGGTAATGCCTTGGATGTTATCGCGAAGCACCTTCCGATGCCTCTTAGCGCCCCCTTTTCCGAGTCCTTTGCCGCCTTTCCCACGTCCAGACATGTTTCTCTTCAAATACCGATCACCTCGCTTGCAGGAAATGAAATGCTGTTACCGGACGAATCTCTCAGTTTATATTGCGTAGAGACCGACCGGAGTGAAAACAGCGGGGGAAGGTTTTGGTTTTTTTTTTAAATGAACGAACCTTATTGTTCCTCTGTCCAATGAATGATCAAAACGGAATTAAACTGTCCAATCAGAATACAGTAAATAGTACTCAAAGCTATGGACGATTTTGGCGCCCATTTTTTTTTAAAAAATAAATAAATTATGTGCGGCATCTAATTTAGCTATAAACAACGTGTCAAACCTCTCATAATTTACCTATTCAGCATGTATTGTTATAAAATTTAAAACCGAATAAAGGGATAACTGGTTTTTTTCTCAATCTACTGGGAATAACGTTTTAAAATATTTATTGAAACATTTTTGCTGATCGCTTCAGAAAGGTATTTATTTTTCAGCTCCCTTGTGTACACACAATGTAAAGGCAAAAGTGAAAAAAGCAAAGAAGGCAAATGTTGCCTTACTACTATTACTTACTATCTATTACTTCATTAGTGCAACTAAGTTGCCTTTTGTGCAATTTAGTAGAGGCTTTCTCCTTCATTCCCCTCATTTTCTGTGCAGACATGATGGGAAGAGAACAAGAAACATAGTATTATTGGTAATACTCTCTTGCAACTTTCACCCCACAAATGTAACATCCATTTTTAGAATATTGAATGGATTCTTTTTCCTTTTAAAAATCTTCCAGGGTTGACCCAGTATGGATTTAAAGGTGGGCTATTTGCTTTCCTTCAATATTTTGGACTTCAACTTTCATGCGTTCAATAAAAGGACACTCTACTGGATGTGGAAAAGAAATCAAGATAGCAATACAAACAGACAAAGCTTCAATTAAACTGTTGTGACTGATATTGGGACTCTTTGGATCATATCCAGCAAACACCTCTGTTCTACACCCAAAGCAAGGGACTGAGAAGGTTTTAATTTAAAGATCCCTGGGTTCTCTATTTCTGTATTAATCCACTGTTTCTTGGGTTCATAATTCTTCACCTATTCCTTAAGATGATACAATTCTAATGGCAGAAAGTGAAGAGAAACTAAAGAGCCTCTTGATGCAGTTGAAGGAGAGTGCAAAAGTTGGCTTGAAGCTCAACATTAAGAAACCTAAGATCATGGCATCTGGCCCTCTCAATTCCTGGCAAATAGATGGGGAAGAAATGGAGGTAGATTTTATTTTCCTGGGCTCCAAGATAACCACAGATGGAGACTGCAGCCAAGACGGTTGCTCTTGGAGAGGAAAGCTATGACAGCATACTAAAAAGCAGAGACATCACCCTGCCAACAAAAGTGCATATAGTCAAGGTTATGATTTTCCCAGTTGCAATGTATGGCTGTGAAAGCTCGACCATAAGAAAGGCTGAGCGTCGAAGTATTGAGGCCTTTGAACTATGGTGCTGTATATGACACCTGCGAGTCCCTTGGACTGCAAGGTGGTCAAACCGGTCAGTCCTAGAGATCTGAGAGCAACCCTGACTTTTCTTTAGAAGGCCAGATCCTGAAGATGAAGCTCAAATACTTTGGCTACCTGATGAGAAGGAAGGACTCACTGGAGAACAGCCTCATGCTGGGAAAGATGGAGAGCAAAAGAAAAAGCAGACGACAGAGAATGAGGTGGCTGGATGGAGTCGCTGAAGCAGTAGGCCTGAGCTTAAATGGACTCCAGAGGTTGGTAGAGGACAAGAAGGCCTGGAGGAACCTTGTCCATGGGGTTGCAATGGGTTGGACACAACTTTGCAACTAACAACAATTCCTTAAGAAACCCAGGCTTACTGCTTTGAGAAATTTGTTTGACATCTATCCTAATATAGAAATAAATTTTGTTTAATACAAAGGGGAAGATATACCTACATCACGGTTATAGTTTGGAGTAATGGTTAAGATACTGGTCTAGAAATGAGGAGACTGACTTCTAGTCCCACCTTAGACATGTAAACAGCTGAGTGACTTTGGGCCATTCACTCCCTCTCAACCCAATCCACCTCACAGGTTTGTTGTTTGTTGGAAAGTAGGAGGAGGAAGGAATATTATGCATATTCACCACCTTGTGTTACAGATAGTCCTTCACTGACTACAATTGAGCCCAAACTCTCTGTTGCTAAGCAACCCTGTTGTCAGGTGAGTTGTGCCCCATTTTAAGACCTTTCTTGCCATGGTTGCTAAGTGAATCATTGCAGCTGTTAACTTAGTAACATGGTTGTTAAGTGATTTTGGCTTCCCCATTGATTTTACTTGTCAGAAGGTTGGAAAAGATGATCCAATGACCCTGGGACATTGCAACCATTATAAAGATGAGATAGTTGCCAAGCAACCAATTTTTGATCATGTGACCATGGATTCTGCAATGGTCATAAATGTGAAAACTGGTCACTTTTTTAGTGCCATTTTAGCTTCAAATGGTCACTAAATTAATGGTTGCAAGTTGAGGACTACCTGTATTTATGAAAAAAAAATTCTTGGCAGGATGAATGTTGCCTTCTTCTGAGATATTTTTTAATTTCCCAATCTAGAAATAGCAATAGCACTTATTCTTATATACAGCTTCACAGTGCTTTACAGCCCTCTCTAAGAAGTTTACAGAGTCAGCACATTGTCCCCAACAATCTGGGTCCTCATTTTACCCACCGCAGAAGAATGGAAGGCTAAAAAATGTAGCCTTTTTTGTCTAAAATTCTGGGATTATCTGGTGCTGTCCAATTCAAATTCTAAGAAAGCCTCGTTCTGCTGAGCTCCAGAGATTGAGTATATGGTATAATGCATATAAACTCTCCTTCCCATTTGTGTTTTGCTTTTGGATGGTAATGTGGGAAGTTATTATCCAGCCCTCTCCCAGAAAAATGAAATATCCTAGGAAATATTGAAAAGGCAGAATATTGAAAAGAAACATGTTTTAAAAGACAGAATAGTTATCTGTAGCTTCTTGCCCACCCCCAGCTAATGGGCCATTAAGATGGCCAGGCTAGCCCACTTTACATAATAAAGACTTCTCCTCACTGCAGCTGTAGGGGGAAGGGATATTATTCAACTGACCACAAGGCATCTGAGAACTCATCACAGCCTAGAGAGTAGCCCCCTGCATGGCACCATGGGAGTCTGACAACCAGTCAGAATACATTTCTTACACAGGAACAGGAAACAGAGAGGTGGGATTGAACAGTGTATAAAAAGCCTAGCAAGCCCCTTCCTCAGTCTTCTCTTCTTCTCCATCAACATTGAAACATGTGATCACCTTTTCTGTACAGGGCTCAAACCATGTGGCCCTGTCCAACAATAAACCATCCTCCCAAGCAGCCTCCATGTCTCCAGTGTCTTCTTCCCCACTTGGAGCTGAACCCAGAAGGACATTTCTTTCAACAGTAATTTCTATAAAAATATTTAAAAGCATAAAAACCAGAATTCAGTGGGGAGCAATTTAAAATGCTTAATTACCAAGTTATTTAAAACTTTTTGCACAAAGCAACCAGGTTTAATTTACTTTATTAAATCAAAAATGACTTGCACATGATTTTGAGGTTGTTAGGCTAAGGTGTGTGTGTGAATTTGACTACTACTGTTAGCCTACAGATAAAATATGCAACGTAGATGTGTTAATTATGGAAAGTAGCTCAATTAGCTAAAAGCATATTATACCAGCTCATATAATAACTTGTTGGATAAATCAAATCCCGAGTTGGTGTGAATACTGCCCATTTATAAAACCTTTCTGCCAATTTAGACAGGTTTTCCATCAAACTTAATCCTGGGATTCATAATCAAGAACCGGGAAAAAGGACAATAGGAAGCCCACACCTTCAGTTGCATCACCACTTTTGTCTTACTCGGTGCCACGAATTGAAACATTCCATGCTGCGTTGCGATTGGCAGAAGTATCCACGTGTTCCTAAACAGATCATTCCATTTTTCTGCTATTACCAATGTAAAGGGAGGGAGGGAGGGGGAGCAGGAGAAAATACCTACCGTCCAGATTAGAAAATGTGAGAGCAATTACTTTTAGTGGCAGAAATGAGAACCAGCCTTGAGAGGGGGGGGAGGGATGGAGCCATTTGCATTTCTCTTCAGAGTTGGGTCTAGATAAACCTTTATTAGTTTCCTGGAAACGGGTTAATTTTTTAAAGGATACTTCGTTTCCCGATTAACACTTTTTTGCCATCGTGTATTAATATGTTCCTTCCAGTACTTTACAATTTACATCCAACAAATCAAATCCATTCAACATTCACAGTTGTATCCATAAGCGAACACAGCTCTTTTTATGAATGCGTGGGTGGCCCTGATAAGGGCCTTTTTAGATCAGTAAAGATGAAATGTATACACTTATCCACCAAAACCGTACAGAGTGCGTCCTTGGCGTTTCAAAGCATACACAACATCCATAGCAGTTACAGTCTTTCGCTTCGCGTGCTCGGTGTAGGTCACAGCATCCCGAATAACATTCTCTAAAAAGACCTTCAGCACACCGCGAGTCTCTTCGTAAATCAAGCCCGAAATACGCTTCACGCCACCACGGCGAGCCAGACGGCGTATAGCAGGCTTGGTGATGCCTTGGATGTTATCGCGGAGCACTTTCCGATGCCTCTTGGCGCCGCCTTTTCCAAGACCCTTTCCACCTTTTCCACGACCAGACATGATAAAAGCGATCAGTAGCGCTCTCCAAACGAAACGTAGAGAAATGTGGTAGTCGAATGCAAGAGCAGCGTTTATATAGCACTTCACCCGACCTGAGGGAAAACTTGAAGAGGGGCGTACATCACTTTCGGCCCCTCCTCCTTAAGTATACGAACCCCAAGAGGCGGGCTTTTCCATCAATAAATCAACCAGGAACTGGAATGTGAACAATCAGGTTCTTCGTTTATAAAGAAATGTGTTACAAAGTAGCAACTTTTCTATTGATGCTCACAAAACATTGTAACTTTATATACAAGCTGGTGTACAACCTTTTTTGAAAGTAAGTTACAAAAACGCTTTTCAGACTGAACGCACTTGAGGAAATTGGGAATTGTGGATTGTGAATTGTAACAAAGCCGTTTACCAAGGAAGACTTTAAAAGCATGCGGGAAGAAATATTTATTGGCTGCATTGTATTTGTATTTGCATTTGTATTGTATTTCTTTTCACTTTTGGTACTCGGTTCCAACATTTTATTTCGGTGTGATGGTCAAAAATAATGGTCCTTAGTAAAAAAAAATGATGGTTCTTAGTAAAAAAATAATAATCCATTTTTATTTTATGTTTTTCGGTAATGTTAACTATGCATTTTTTTTCTTCCTTAGACTTAAGGATGCCTCAAATAGATTCATGCATGGATAACATTGTCTCATGATCTATCCCGAAAATTGGGTTACACCATATCAGCAACACCGATTACTGTCGTATCCTTTCGTTACATCGTAATAAAACATTTGAGGGGGGGGGGAACAACATTGCAATTAGATCATCAAAATGCGCAGTGCCTACGTTAGGCCTGATTGGTTAGAAATGAAGTCACCACCCAATCCTTATGGAGCCCGGGTTATTTTTTTTTAATGAATCATACTTTCTCAGCCAATCGGCAATTTTAAAGAATTGCAAAGATTGCAAATAGTTCTGCACATCTGCATTCATTCTAGTCGTTCTCTGGACATTCTCTCCACCGTCCTCCACTGTCGTGAGGGTATATATTAAAAAAGATTGCGCATAAATTGGGGAGGAATATCCGGGCAATAGTAGTCGCGGCAAGAACGAAGGGCAGCGCTCTCGCTCTGCTTTTGCGGGCGAATACGGAGCTACGTAAAATTCACCCAAGTATTTTATTTGCGCATTCCCTGTCCAACATTTGAGGCACAAGGGTTCCCACCTACGTTTAGGGAAGTCAGTTGCTACTGTTGATCGCAAGACATAAAGAGCCACAGGAAAGATTCCCCGGTCACTCACTTTCGCTTCAATGTTAAAAAAAAGTCGCAGCCCAGAAGACACTCGAGACTTTGGAAGGCGCTACGACCTTCCCAGAGGTCGTTGTGGAAGGATTTCAAGGAGGCACTTCAAGACGTGCCGAAGTGTTCCCTATTAAAAAGGGGGTTGACTTAAGCACGATACTAGTGCTTGGACTCAAATGAGGTCAGCTCTTTTCAAGGAAAAAGTGGGTGGCTCTTAAAAGAGCCTTTGGGATCGGAAGTCACGGAAGCCGCTTCACTTCTTCTTAGCAGCCGCCTTCTTGGGCTTGGCCACTTTCGCCTTGGGAGTCTTGGGCTTGGCGGCCTTCGCCTTTACCTTCACCGCCTTGGTTTTGGCGGGGCTTTTAACGGCCCTTTTGGGCTTGGCGGGCTTGGCCTTCTTGGGGCTCTTGGCCGCCTT